AATTCTTAAAAGTATAGTTATTAATTATATTATCTGGTATTTTGTTATCAAAGTTAATGAATTTTTAATTGGATGTTGAGTTATTATGAGAGATTGTAGAGATATATCTATCAAGTTAACCAGTAAATTGTAAACATTAATTATTGTACGTCTGTTGTCTTGAACTATAAATAAAGGAGCTTGACTGCACGGTTTCGACAGTTTTGGGTTCGATTTCAGTGAGGTGCTATTTTTAGCTGTGATAGTTTTATTATTATGAAGAACTGTTCAACTAAAAGACACTTTTATTGTAAGAACGACTGAACATCAACGTAAACACTGTGTATAGTAAATAGTTGTAATAGATCCGAATTTGAAACAAAAATGTGATTATCTGATATACTGAGGGACTTGCTGGTCCTTAAATGGTCAAGAACATTTGTTTCCTCATCAATTAATTAATCATAGTGTTCCAACACACCCCGAATACATAATTAAGCAAGGCTCCTAAAATTGGGTTGAAGTTTTCAAAAGTTCCACACAAATTGGAGCAGGCCATACTTTAACTTCACATCCTAATTCAATGGACTGGCGTTCCTTAAAATATGCAGAGCGACCTAGTTTCTATTCATCTAGGATTCATCATAAGGTAGATGGGGTCAGTGTTACCTAAGTTAGGCAGGTTTTAGAATCGCGCTGACCGCTCGCTGATCGTCGGCGCTGACAGATCAATATGTATGTAATTGAAGGGAACGTTCCTGAGTGACGCTGATCGCTCGGCGCCGACGCTTCATACATTTCGGCTGTCAGCGCTGACGGTCAGCGTGCGTCAGCGTGACTCTAAAACCAGCCTTACTATTTGATTTCATGAAAAAAGATACTAGATTTGCTTACCATTGGATTTTTTGCTTTTGCCATGCGAAACAAATGTCTTGTTTAATAAGTCAATCCAAAATGACAGAGATGTGCATGGACTCTGAAAAATTTATCCTTCGGGCTTACCACCGGGGTGGTGAATGGCACTAATAGGTGGCGTATACCACCCTGGTGATAAATGGCTCCTTTACAGTTTCATCTGCGTACTTCAAGCTTGTTACCGGGGTCTTTTAGTCTGGATTCGTATCGCACCGAACTGCATTAGTGTACGACCGATACCTTCGTTCTAGCTCTAGGCTGTCCTGAACTAAAGACATTCGTTCGTTCGTTCGTTTCAGCCGAAAGACGTCCACTGCTGGACAAAGGCCTCACCCAAGGATTTCCACAAAGACCAGTCCTGCGCCGCTTGCATCCAGGTACCTCCCACGACCTTCACCAGATCGTCGGTCCACCTAGTGGGAGGCCTGCCCACGCTACGTCTTCCAGCTCGTGGTCGCCATTCAGAAACCGCTTTATTAATTTTCCTTCTGTGATGCTGCATAATAAAAGAGAGAGAAAGAGAAGCAGGAAGAACAAAGATACTGCATTTATTTACGTTGTGAACGCAGTTTGACCTACTTGCCAGTCTATATCAAAATTAGCCACGTTTCCTTAGAAATAACAACGTTATACGATACGTTTGACTCATTAGCGATCTCAGCTAATTTTAATTAATTGAAAACCCAAAAGGTGACTAACTCAAATATTTTTGAAGTATTAAAAACGTAATTCTCACAGAATTTGAATATCAAATGTTTTATAAAACTCGAAATTAAGAAAATAATTTCTTTGTAGAAAACTAAGGCCTTACTCGTAGTTCGGCCACGGTAATAATATCATACAGTATTGTAACTTCATATAAACCGACGAAACGCGAGCATTCCTTCGAATTTCAAATTTCGGTACGCGGTCGAAAGTAAAAGTTAGGGGTGTCGCGAATGTGCCGAACGGACGTCGATGGCCTAGTGTTGAAAATGACTAAGGCCCAGTTTTTTGATTCATAGTTAAAATAACAAATTGTTAAATTTTGCTACTAATGGTTAAATATTAACAAAATGTTAACTAATAGTTAAAAAATGTACTAAAAGTCAAGCTAACCATTGTTCGAAAAACATTTTTTTCTGATATTTAACCACTTGTCATTTGACATCTGTCAAATTTGACCATTGGTTATTTTAACTACGAATCAAAAAACCGGGCCTAAGTTGATTGAATTTGACTTATAGTTCCAAAATACTGGACTGTCCTGTCGATGACATTGACAGTGGGGCGCCACCGTCAATACCGGATCGCTGGTTCAGATTTTTGCCATGTTGGAAACCATATAGTTGAACGATGGTAGCGCCCCCCTGTCATTGAGTTTGGTGGGACAGTTCAGCGTGGGTCATCTATACCGTCTTAAACGGTAAAATTTTTCAAAAACTACCTAGTCATTAACTGTCAGAAATGGTCATTTTCAGTCAGTTTGATTTGAAATGAAAATTATATTGTATTTAAAACCAGCTTTGGCCCACGACTTCACCCGCCTGAAATTAAAGTAACCGGTCATTATGATTAGTAGATTCAAAATTATTTTAGTATAATTTTTTAAATTAAATCTACTAACCACAAAACAACACGCATTTTTATCCTATTCCATTCAAAAAGTATTTTGTTTGTTTAAATAAAAAAAAATTACAATCACAATACTAGATAGAAATTCTAAGTAGACAGATGTAATTAGAATGGGTACTGTAGGTGAGCAGCCCTATCGCATGTTGTCATACCGTGACGTACCGCGGGGCTGTTGACATTTATTTCAAAAATATGGCCGAGTTGGAATACTGTATAGATAGTATTACCGTGGTTCGGCCGTTATTTCTGCATGCTGTGCCGTGAACTGTCGTGCTCATTGCGTGAATTTAGCGCTTTGTTTTCTGCTACTGTCAACATTCTGTAACGACCGGTCTTGCGCTGCCCGCATCCAGGCTCTTCCTGCGACCGTCACCAGATCATCGGTCCTCCTAGTGGGAGGCCTCTTAGGAGGTCGTTATGGAAATCCTTGAGGGAGGCGTTTGTCCAGCAGTGGACGTCATTTGGCTGAAATGAACGAACGAACGAACTGTCAACATTGGTCATCATTAACCGTTAAACAGTTATCTACCTTCACGATACGAAAAGGCCATCAAAAAGCGTTGCAAACAATAAATTCACACAACACTGAGTCAAATTAATCAATCAGCCGACGCGTTCGTTTTTAATTCGTCATCAGCTCCGACCAGGGATGGTTAATTACCTGGAAATCACGTTCGTATAATACAGAATGGGTCAGTAAGTCATGTAAAAAAAAGGATAGAGTTGTTCGGAAACCGATCTGGTAAAGGTCGCAAGAAGTACCTGGATGAGGGCAGCCGTAGATTTCCACAATATAATGTACATTTATCTTTATACATTTTTACACTTACGTAAATATCATTTTCCTGTAGAACTAAGATACCCTGAAATTCCATAAACAAACCTTAGCATATGTTTCGTACCGAAATATATTTATTAGTTTCTTAATTTTAGTTTAAGATAAAACAACACAAACTGGAAGGAATTTGCTCTTTTCTTAATTGCATTTTTTAATCACAAACTGGCAACATTCATTCCAATCCTATGGAGCTAGGCTCGCGATTGCGATTGCGACGCCCCCCAGTGACGCAAGAGTTTTGAGTTCGGAAGGACGCCCGTGCGCAACAGCGGTGTGTTCTTTAATTCGGCAACCACATAAGCGTTTGTCAATTTCCAAAATCAAGTGAATCTAATGAGTGCGGGATCCAGCCCCTATGGAACTATGGTCTTTTTCATCAATATGTGCTAATACTTCACAAGCAAACTGCATTTCGGAGATACGCCGGGCCCGGCTGAGCACGCGGCTGGCACTGTGGAAAAGAGGTTTGTTCGCCGTTTGTTTGAAAATTTAGTATAGCTAACATATTATTTGTTGGTCCTTCGAGCCGAATTTTCATTTTCCTTCCAATTGTGTAGTTTTATCGTATTTTTAGCGTACATACGTACCACATTTTTCATTCCACGTGCGACCATCTTTGTAACGCAAAATGGCGCAATCGAAAGTGGAAAATGATTCCAAGACCTCATTAGATTCCAATAGCGAGAGTAGTAGTTCATGTGTTCAGGATATTTTCGAGCGAGATTTAATTTTAGACGATTTAAAGAGAACATTACAGTTTGCAACTACAGATATTCAAAAATTCATTTCACGTACCAAAGATTTGTCAGCTCTTCAAAGAAAGTTTAGCAAATTGCAAACTAAAGTCGAAAAGTCTCTCATTAAATCTAAATCATTCAATAAAGAGGAACAAATCAAAATTAGAAACGACTTCGACGATTCGTATTATGCAATTGTCACTCAAGTAGATAAATTAAAACAATGTCAGGAGCAAAGCAGACGAATGAGTCGTCCCTTTGCTAATTCAGAATTTTCTAGTAATGCTAAATTACCTACTTTGCCTTTGCCCAGTTTCTCTGGCGAAAGCACAGAATGGAATTCATATTTCGATTTGTTTTGTTCTCTCGTTCACCACAATACTGCCTACACGGATGCGGAAAAGTTTAGGTATTTGCTTCTTACGTTAAAAAATGAACCATTCAACCTTATAAAGTCCATTCCAATCACTGATGCTAATTATTTCGTAGCAATACAAATATTAACTTCACGTTATGAAAACAAAAGAATCATAGCTTCGAATCATCTTGATAAAATACTCAACATTCCATCTTGTAACGTAAAATCAACGAGTGATTTACGTAACTTATTAAATACATTCCAAGAAAACATTAAACCTCTTGAAGTAATGAAGTTTCCCACCAGTGAATGGAGTTTCGTTTTGTTACACATTTTACTACGTAAAATTCCCGCATCTGTTCGTAAGCAATTCGAGTTATCATTGTGTTCACCTTCAGACATTCCAGAGGTCAACACATTCATTTCATTTTTAGAGCGTGAACTTGTCGCTGAGGAGTTTTCTAACGATAATTTCGGGCAGTCGAGTAAAATTATTAACAATAAAGGCGGTAGATTTGGCTCACAGTCTAGCTCGCGAGCGGCGCCCCCTAGCGGCAATATGGCCGCCGGTCAGCGACAAGCCTTCGCGGCGAACTTCGCGCCGCAATCCTCTGACGTGTCAGGCAATACTCAGCCTAATCGGCATAGCGATAAGACACATTGTTTGTTATGTGATGCTCAACATACGTTGACGAAATGTTCTAAGTTTTTGAATCTTTCAATAAAAGATCGATTTTCTTTTATTAAAAACAAAAGTGTTTGTTACAATTGTTTACATCTCGGCCATAACGTGAGCCAATGTAAATCCAATTTTTCGTGTAGGAATTGTCAGAAGCGCCATCACACATTAATTCATTTTGACAATAATGTAAACAAAGCGTTCGATCCGAGTAGCGGTACTAATCAGTCCGTCCCGCTCCCGCTCACGGCGGAGTGTAATAATGTTGTTTCTGTTTCTACGGCTGATACCCAGCTGACTTTAACGTCAACTCGAGATAAGGAAAACGATTCTATTGTGCGTACGAGTACGGTGCTATTGTCTACGGCACTTGTCGATATTTATCTTGATGATCACAAGTTATCAACCGTGCGCTGTTTAATTGATACGGGCAGCCAGGCTACTTTCATTTCGGAAGCGTGTGCACAACGTTTAGGTATTTCACGTAGACGTGTGAACGTTCCGCAAGTTTATGGGATAAATAATAACAAACCGGTTTATCCTAAGGGAGTGGCTTCATTCTTCATTGCGCCTAGAAATCAATCGCAACCTTCGATTCATGTTGATGCATTGATTTTGCCCAAATTAATTACAACACAAATGCCTACTTGTCAATTACCTTATACAGGGTGGTCTCATATTCAAAACTTAACTTTAGCTGATCCGAGTTTTCATACACCACAACCAGTGGAAATGCTTTTAGGTGCTGACATTATTCCTCAAATTTTATTACACAACATAATCACGGGTCTACCAGGTTCACCAATTGCTATGAATAGTATTTTTGGTTATTTATTGTTGGGTAAACTCGATTTGAATTCATCGATTGAGGTTTCTCTTCCAGTCCAGGTGTGTCACAGCTCTGTTAACGACGACTTTGACCTCCAGCGATTTTGGGAATTAGAAACAATTTCTGAACAAAAGTCTCTCACTCCTGATGAACTTTTGTGTCAATCTTTTTTTGAAAACACGCATACGCGTAATGAGTGTGGGCGATACGTGGTCGCTCTTCCCTTCAAACCTGACGCACCGCCCCTCGGCGAGTCGCGGGATATTGCTATTTCTAGATTTCGTAAATTAGAGTACAAACTCGAGCGCAATTCGCAGCTCAAACATGATTATCACGCGTGCCTCCAGGAGTACTTAGAGCTCGGCCACATGGAGCCCGTCGATAGTCCAGCAGCTGCAGGTGGTAACTATTATATACCGCACCACGCCGTGGTCAAAGAATCTAGTGAAACCACCAAAACCAGAGTAGTTTACGACGCAAGCTCTAAGACTACAAACGGTTTTTCTCTAAACGACAATTTGTTAATTGGTCCAAAGCTTCATTTAGATATTGTTGATGTGTTATTAAAATTTCGCATTCATTTAATTGCTTTCACAGCTGATATCAAACAAATGTATCGTAACATTATGATTCGTGAATCGGATAGGGATTTTCAGCGTATAGTGTGGCGCACCTCGCCCGAGGAGCCCCTACGCGATTACAGACTTTGCACTGTGACCTTTGGAGTTAGCTCATCGCCCTATCTTGCTCTTCGCACCATTCAGCAGCTCGCTCATGACGAGGCCGCACGCTTCCCGCGCGCATCGCAGGTCCTCATGCGCGACGTATTTGTAGACGATGTCGTATCAGGTGAAAGTGATGAGTCACGGGCTCTCGCCCTACAACAAGAGTTGATAGGTATTTGTCAATCCGCAGGTTTTGAGTTGCACAAGTGGCATAGTAATTCTCCCGCCTTACTTCTCGGTTCTCAGCCGACAGTTTCTCATGGTGAGCGGTGCGAAAGTGTGCCCTTCGCACACATGGAGAATGACTCATCCACTAAGGTCCTAGGTATGCAGTGGGACCCGAACTTAGATACTTTTGGTTTCAGTGTGAAAAGTTACTCTGAAAAATGTACAAAGAGGTCCATTCTTTCAGAAATTGCACGTATTTACGACCCTCTCGGTCTTTTATCTCCAGTGACTTTATTTGCAAAACATTTAATTCAATTATTGTGGATTTCTTCTGTGGACTGGGACGAAACCCCACCACAAGACATAGTCGATTCGTGGGCTAGCTTTACAAGTCAGCTCCCACTATTATCTAAAGTTAGCTTTCCGCGTCATGTTTTCCCTCAAAATTGTAAATTACAGCTTCACGGCTTTTCAGACGCCTCCGAAAAGGCATACGCAGCATGTGTTTATCTCCGCGCGCAGCGCGAGGATGGTAGTGTGTGCGTGTCCTTATTGTTAGCGAAAACACGCGTCGCGCCTACGCGTCGCGTATCTATTCCCCGTCTCGAACTGATGGGAGGTGTTTTGTTATCACAACTTATTAAAAAGGTGTTACAAAATTATAGTGATAAAATACAAAGTGATCAAATTTATACTTGGTCGGATTCAAGTATTGTTTTAGCATGGTTGCGTTCACCGCCCCATGAATGGAAAACATTTGTTTCAAACCGTACTACGGAGATATTGAATATTGTCCCCGCGGATTGTTGGCGGCACGTCCCGTCGGCCGACAACCCCGCGGACGCTGCTTCGCGCGGCATGTTACCCGCTGCTTTCTTGCACCATGAGATGTGGTTTCATGGGCCTCGCTGGTTGAGCGAGGATGAAAGTATGTGGCCTGTTCCAAAGCCTGTTCTTCCTACTGATGAAGAAAAGCGTAATGTTGTGTTGTGTTCGAGTACTTCTACTCCAAACGAGGACGTAGAAATTATTTCACGTTTTTCTTCACTCGGTAGACTTGTTCGTGTTACGGCTTTGATATTTCGTTTCTATCACAAGTGTAGAAAGGTCAATATTTCGAGTTCAAAACACATTACTGTGTCAGAGTATAATTTCGCTTTGAATCGACTTATACGAGTTGTTCAACATTCAGTTTTCAATGATGATATTTTGAAGATTTGTAATGGGCAATCACCATCAAATCAATTGAAACGTCTTAATCCTTTTATAGATTCAAACAAGTTGCTTCGCGTTGGCGGTAGAATTCATAAATCGCTTTTATCTTTTGAGTCAAAACATCAATTGATTTTACCTAAAAAACATCCTTTAACTTATTTACTAATTGACTTTATTCACGTTTCAAACTTGCACAGTGGGGCTCAAAGCACCCAATATACACTTTTACAAAAGTATTGGATATTATCAAGTCGTGACGTCATCCGCCAACGCATTCATCGATGCGTCCGTTGTGTTCGTGCGCGCCCCGCGCACACGCAGCCGTCAATGGGTTTGTTGCCCGCAGCTCGCTTGCGACCGGCCAGACCATTCATAAAAACTTCGGTAGATTTCGCAGGTCCATTTTACGTTCGGGCAAATAAGGTTCGTAACGCTAAAATAGTTAAATGTTATGTAGCAGTTTTCGTATGTATGAGCGTTAAGGCTATACATTTAGAGATCGTTTCGGAGCTTTCCACAGAAGCGTTTTTAGCTACACTTAGGCGTTTTGTTTCGCGACGCGGTTTGTGTACCGATATTTATTCAGACTGTGGAAAGAATTTCGTGGGATGCGATAGGTATCTTACGGAATTGTATAGTTTCTTGCGTAATGACGTAGTACAAACTACGCTCAATTCAAAGGTTCTTGGTCAAGGCATCACTTGGCATTTTCAACCCCCATACGCTAGTCATTTTGGTGGACTATTCGAAGCGGGTGTTAAAAGCTTTAAGCATCATTTTCATCGTGTGGTCGGCACACGAACTTTGACATATGACGAGATGCATACGCTCTTATGTCAAATAGAGGCGATTCTCAATTCGCGCCCACTTTGTGTTTTAAGTGCAGACTCAAGGGATCCTCTCCCTTTGACTCCATCACATTTTTTAATAGGTGAGCCCTTAACGTCAATTCCTGACATTTCTTTAGTGGATGAGAATCCTAGCCGCTTAGTAAGATGGCGTCTCATCCAACAGTCCACTCAACATTTTTGGAAGAGATGGAGTCTTGAGTATTTACATCATATTCAACAAGCAACCAAGTGGTTTAGTAATCGCGGTGCCCCGATTCGTGAGGGCATGATTGTGGTGTTACGCGAAGACAACGTTCCTCCCTTGCAGTGGAGACTTGCGCGTGTTCACGCCTTACACCCAGGTCCTGACGGGATCTGTCGGGTCGTTACTTTACAAATTGGACAGTCGTTCTTCAAACGAGCTGTTGTTAAGATTTGTCCTCTTCCTGTTGAGTAGGGAGTAGGTACGTTTTGCATCTAAGTAAAGCTAGAGTAGTTTTAGGTTTATAGTTAGGTTTCACTCTACAAATAGCTTAGATACTTGTAAGTTTCTTATCGTAGGTTTTGTCTTGTTAAAAGATACTCGGTACTTTTAAGGTGAGCGGTATGTTTCGTACCGAAATAAATTTATTAGTTTCTTAATTTTAGTTTAAGATAAAACAACACAAACTGGAAGGAATTTGCTCTTTTCTTAATTGCATTTTTTAATCACAAACTGGCAACATTCTTTCCAATCCTATGGAGCGAGGCTCGCGATTGCGATTGCGACGCCCCCCAGTGACGCAAGAGTTTTGAGTTCGGAAGGACGCCCGTGCGCAACAGCGGTGTGTTCTTTAATTCGGCAACCACCTAAGCGTTTGTCAATTTCCAAAATCAAGTGAATCTAATGAGTGCGGGATCCAGCCCCTATGGAACTATGGTCTTTTTCATCAATATGTGCTAATACTTCACAAGCAAACTGCATTTCGGAGATACGCCGGGCCCGGCTGAGCACGCGGCTGGCACTGTGGAAAAGAGGTTTGTTCGCCGTTTGTTTGAAAATTTAGTATAGCTAACAACACCTTAGCATAATAATTATGATTCTTATTTTATTACAAAAATGTACTTTAATGCAGTTAATTAATTATAAAACATTTGTTTGTTCCAGAGCTATGGACGTGCTTGAAACTTTCAAGGTAAGCAAATTGATTTATCAATCTTATCTTTCTAGACTTTCATTGACCTAGATAAGTTATCAGTGAACAAATTGTAGTCCGAAGACTCGTGGTAATCCTGAAACGTCAGATTATCCCAGACAGCACTCGCTACTAATTCCAATTTCGCTGATGGTCGATTTATCACATATTTGGGAGAAATGTAATATAAATGTAAGATCTCTTTTTATACGTTCTTGCTTTCTGAGTTCTTGTAACAAGAAATAACTTTTGTAGCTTTAGAACGAACTTTAAAGTTTTCCAGTGTCGTGTATCGATCGTGTCTCATCTTGAGTGTTTGAATGTATTTTAATATTGAATATTTCCTATAAGTACGCTCTCTTCAGGAAAGATTGTAGGTCGTATCTTTCCGGAAATACCGCAGACGACAGAATGTTTAGAATAATTCCAAGAAAAGTGCCTGTTTCACTCTCAACATAAAATAATTATAGACTGGCATAGCTCTACCACCAACTGGTATAATTTTTAACTTTTAATTTTGCCTTACTCTACATTTTAGTAAAACACCCAAGTCCCAAGTTTTCGCGACCAACTTACAGTTGCTTTTAGTCTTAAATACAGTTTTAACTAGATCGAGCATGCTTTGGAGTGGAAAAAAGTTTTCCGGGTGAAGACATCTGGTGTTTTTACTTCTTGCAAGCACTTGCTAAAGACGTCGGGAAAAAGCAATTATTTCTTGTTTAAATCGTAATAAATGATGTAACTGACGTTATTAAGAAGTCAATTAATGTTGAAAATTGCTCTCAACTCTATCTTTGAACATTCACCGACTATTTAGTGTCATAAAATTTTACGTTATTAAAATCATATTTCGTGGTGGAAAACAAATAGGTATTCGTTGTTTATGCAACACTGTTTAAAACCAATGGAACCGAATATACACACACGTGCGTGTTGTTTTCGATACAAACAAAAGGGACAAAATACAATTCTCACTTAATATCTTTTACGTGTGACGAGTATGGTAGGATTTTTCATTTAAAAACACACAGCTGAAAGCAATCCTGCACTTTATTGCAAAGCTAACTTAGAGGTTAGTTTTGGCTACTAACAGATGGTGCTAGTTACTGGCCATATTATCTATTCTGTGGCGGAGGCAAGACAATAAAAGTCGAGTAACAAGGGCCTAAGCGGGACGCAATTAAGATCCTTTGTGGGACATGATTAATCGCGCGTCCCAGCACAATCGGCAGAAAGATTGGTGATGAATGACTTATGTCCGAGATGTTGATAGCCCTGAGATAGGGCTGGCCAATGGAATCCAGGAAATACGGAACGTTTACCTAATGATGATCTTGCAGTTACTGAATATTTTTCTGATAAAATCTGATTATGTAGGTACCTAAATAAATCTATAGAATATTATAGTACAGAAGATTTAATTAACTATGTTCGGCAACAGTGAGTGTGTACTTTTGGAATAAATTTATGGAATGTCAAAAAATATATGAGATAGTATTTTAGGGGTGTCAATAAAATATCTTAGGCTGGGTTGCACCATCTTACAATCGTATTTTAACAAACGTCGAAAATCTATCAAGCTCCTAAAAAAAACACCCGTTTATCGTTATAGTTACTGTTAAAGTTTGGTGGTGCAACTACGGTATCCACCCGGTGAAGTAAAACCATCACCGGTTTGATAACCTTTTTTAACAGGAAAATGCTATGCTGACGGACGCTGCATGAGTTATGTAGGACACTATTTCTTACGGCTCATGAAATACAACAACAGACAGAGAAGGTACAATATAAATAAAGGATAAATAAAGGTTATGGAACCCTAAAAAATACTTGACGGAGTCATCCCTGTTTATACGAGAAGACTGGCAGAGCAAGTTAATGTAGTTTTTGCGAACTCAAATTTTCATGAGCCAGCCGTCTGAGTCCCACGGACACCGTTTGAGTTTCCGATTGGATTCTAGAAGTTATAACCAGTTTTATTAATTCGCTTCCACTTTGTCAACTAAATATTAACGCTTTTGAGTATCTTGAGAAGTGGAATAAATTGGAATAATACAAGTAAGTGTATAAATGATGTTTTAATTCGTACAAATTGATATGCAAACGTTACAAGAGTAAGGCTGAGTTGCACCGCCGTACTTTAACCATAACTGGTGATTTATGTAGTATGGGAGTTTGACAGAATTTTAACATTTGTTATTTTTAAAATAAGATGGTGCAAACCAGCCTAACTGACGTGTTTGAGTGTATTATCTCGTGAGATTGATGAAAAAATAACGTCTTCTGAGCTGACAAATGTTAGAAGAAATGGTATTAAATAAAATACCTAAACTTGAGGCCGCCTCTTTTTTTTTTTTTTTATCCACAACGAGGAAGCTCTTGGCCTGTATCTCACCTGATGGTAAGTGACGATCAGGCCGAAGGTGGAAGCGAGCTTCACCCGGAATCCTCAACCACGGAGGAACTGGCTATCTTACCTCTTACTGCCGGAACACAATAATGCTGTGAACATTGTTGTTATGGCGACAGACTTAGGTAAGATGGTGGTAGCTAGCCAGGCGGACTTAGAACAAGCCCTACCACCAACCAAACCGAACAGAAAAATCTGCCCCCACTGGGAATCGAACCCGGGACCTCTGCGTCTGAAGCAGGTGGTCTTACCACTAGACCACAGAGACGGTTCTTAAATGACCAAGTAGAACCTTGTATAACTAAATAAACTTTCTAAAAATAATATTATTTCCATTCTTTCACACATGGCTCTGGCCAGCCTTATCTTCGTTCCACAATAACGCACCCAATAATTGCGCCGGCCCAGATGCACCGAACTCGTCATTATGCTGAAACAATGCAGCCTTTGGCTCTACGCTCAATTCAGGCCGAAACAGTAGGCCTACTGGGTAATATGTAGCAGTATAGAGGTGTTAAAGGAAAACTATTTTGAGTTACTCTCGATTAAATAGTCATTAGACCGGTCCTACGCCGCTCGCATCCAGGCACTTCCCGCGACCTTCACCAGATCGTCAGTCTACCTAGTGGGAGGCCTGCCTACTCTACGTCTTCCGGCTCGTGGTCGCCAATCAAGAACTTTCAATAATAATTAATGGAAGATTTTATTGGTGTGTACCTTGTGATTGAACTGCTTCTTAACATTTTCAAATCGTACTGATGCGTTGGCTAAGTCATAGGTATACCTATTTGTGTAAGGACCTTACTTATTGTATAGGTACGCATACTGTTCGATTTTGAGATTTTTTGCTTTCAAGCTTTTGACTGAAAGAAGATATAGGTCATCATCACTTCACTTAATATAGCGAACCCTCTAAACCTGTCTCTTCTATGCCCCGCACCGACACGTCATTACGCCTACGGTCCAGCCTCTGCTCAACATTGCTCTCTCTTTGAGCGGTAGCGTCCAATTTGAGGGTTCATAGGGCGAAAATACATGGGCTAAAGAAACAAGTCGTCTTGGGTCAGATAGCGTGCACGTAGGTCGTAAGATAAGTCGATAGTCGTAAGATTCAAAATCCAACATTTTCTAAGGACTGTTCCTTAGCCTTTGAATCACTCTCCAGTTAAAAATTTAAATCAAATAGATCAAAGTCACTTTCATCATAACGTATTTATAGGTTTTTTAAACTTGTTTTCTACAGAATCATCAATACAAAGTATTTGGATACATTTAAGTGTATTAAAAAGGGTCTACATAAATAATATTACTAAAGAAAAAACCATTAAGATACGATAAATCTATTGAAATAACATAAGCAATCGTTTGAAATTTCTAACAGGTATTATTTGAATAAATGCGATGACAAGATACACCAACTGTAGGTACCGCTTTTCCAATAATTCTTTTATCAATATCGCACCTTTAAAGTTAAACCGTTACTAAACGAATTTTTCGCAAAAATGAGTTATCAACGCCATCTTACTAAAGGACACGTAAACTACAATATGAAATAGACCACTTCTTCAAAATTGCCTTCTTTCGCCTTCTAGCGTTAAAGCATAACGTTACTAAGCCAAACTTTGAACGGCTCGCTAAATACAATAACGGGTCTATGCAAGTAAGAACGTGTTTGTTGCGGAGTGATGACGAAAGTTTAAATTCATAATGTGATTATTTGGATAGTAACGGCCGTTCGTCACAAAAATGGTAAGTTGTTTAGTTTTTTTAATGAGTAAAGTGTGACTATATGTTTAAACACAGTTTTCGTTTAAAAAAAATACACAATTCATTATAAAATTTCTTTGGTAAACGGTAACAGTTGGTATAGTCACAGTTTGCCTTTATTTTTTTAGGTATTTATCTAATAATATTTATCACTAAAGGGTGCCTATTTCGTTAATTACAGTTTTCAATAAGCAATGAGTAAATTTTATGATAGGTATGCCTAGTTACAATAGTGAAACATTTTTTTAGTCTATAATAAAATATATAGATTAAAAGCATTTATTTGCTCTAGGTGATGGCGTATTTCCGGAACCCACGTTTGGCTCTCATTATGGAAGCTGTGGACGCTGAAAAAGATTCCTCATGTTTCGAAGAACCCAAGCAAACATCTATCGACGAACTTAATATAATTTTAACTATATTTTTAACTTTTCCCGGTCTAAATGTAAGACTGCACACTTGTCTACACCAAACTCCATCCTGATGGCGTTGCTAAATACCTGTGTTGTTTTTAGCAACTTCACCAGGTCTTGTCGTTTTGTTGCGAACAACTTGAGATCATCCATGTAGAGCAGGTGACTAATGACCTCACCCCCTCTTCGTAGCTGATAACTAAGCACTGAATCCTTTAACAGAGTGCGAAGAGGATTCAGTGCTAGGCAGAACCACAAGGGACTCAAACTGTCACCCTGGAAATGCCTCGCTCAATCCTTATGAAGTTCAATGGATCAGGAGACCTCTCACCACCACCTGGCTGCCGAAGGACTGTAGTCCACTGCCCCATGCATGAGCATGAGCGTAAAAAGGATCTCATTGCATCTACCTTATACAACTCTAAGATCCTTTCTCGCCATGATTGAGGCACCGAATCATAGGCCTTCTTATAGTCAATCCAGGCAGCAGAGAGAGCTTTCCTGCTCCGCCGAACTTGTTGGCTAATGGTTATGTCTATGAGGAGGAGCTCTTTAGTACCACGAGACTCAACCTTACATCCATTCTGAGCAGTGGCCACAAAATATTGTTCATTATTTTTATTATTAAGTGATTTAAGGTAGGTATGTGAACAACCTTTCGAGGGTAGGGAAATAATGCTGAGATTGTTACTCGAGTTTAATATATTTTTTATGTATTTTTCGTAATTGCTAGGTGTTTTTTTTTCTTATTCGTTATCAGTTATACTTCCTATGATTTAAAGGTACAAAATGTCTTAAGACTGATTAATAAATAACTAGGCTAAATGCTTGTATGGATATCTTTAATTTGTAATAAAATATTGTTGATTTCGAATGTTTGTTATTTTTTTAATATTGTAACATCATCACAAATACCTACTCTATGATATAAAATTTAAATGTATAATAATATCACCATTATCATTGAAATTTAAATAGTTTTCTATATAGTAACATTATTTGGACTGCAATTTGAATAGTAATTTATTTAAAAATGAAAAAATAGTAAATGGTAAAGTGTTACTATAATTATATAAATCAAAATAAATAATACTATACATAAAATATTTTATTTTTGTAAATCACATAACATAGCGTTAGCACATATCTATCATATAACTCATTAATAAGCCTTAAAATACTATTTCCTTTGACAGTATTGAAAAAAAACATTGACTTTTTTCTTATTTTGGCTCTCCTGCAAAATTTCATAATTTCGTTTAGTAACGGTTTAAATTTAAAGGTGCGATATGTTCTGTGTTGCGCCTTATTTTAGAATGTTTACAGCTCTAAAAATAAATCCTGTAGGTAAACAACAATGCTTTGATCACAACAATCAGATTCGCAAGTTTAACCGCGAACAGCGGAATTACTTCAAAGGGCCTTCAGTAAACACCGATTACGGAATCGCGAACTCCGCCGTTTTGTACAACTAACACAATAATTCTATCGAATTAGTACTAGTGATGTCCGTAATGCACTGTCGATGCTATGGGAACAGCTTCGATAGTTGCCTGGTACATTAGGTGCTAAGATATTTAAGATTTATTTTATAACTATCAAACTACATATTTTGCGAGTGTATGAGTAGATGTCTGTTCTTCTTTCATGAAATATTAATAAATTGAATAATGAATTTGCTGTGAAGAAGTGATACATCAGTAAGGAAAATTGATACATCAGAGTGTTAGTTGATATATTTTTTATGAAAGTGTGTTGTGAATGCGAAAATTCATAAATTTTATCGATACATAGCTAAGTTATCGACGTGAAAGCTTCACTAAAACACAAGTTCTGCTATTTAGTTATTGCGAGAGTGGTCAGAAATCCGGAAAGGGGATTTATTAAATCTTCTGCTTATACCCGAGCTTAATTTCAAATTATCTTTGTTGTCTGCTACGCGATTAAAACAGATATCAAATGTAGCTCTTATTTTTTGAGATGAGGCACTATTGACGTAATGAGGGCTATCGTTTTTATTCTTAACAGTTGGCACCCCTGGCGATTGACAGAACCTTACTCTACAGTGGCGCCGTCTTGATGAGTGCAAATGCGATAGTCCTCCTACCACTTTAGCGCTCACCAGTTGGTGCCACTGTCTTCGCTACTAGCAAGTGACAGGACCTTACTCTACAGTGGCGCTAACTGGTGAGCGCTAAAACGATAGCCCTCATTAGATCATACGCTTAAACTGTTTTGGGGGCTCTGACGTTTAATTTGTTAAATTATAAGAAAAAAGTATACCGGTAAACGACATGGTTCTACTGAGGCACAAGCATTCTCCAATCGCGATGTGTCAAATTCCATTTCGTTGAATTCGTTTCAATTGATACTTAATTAAGTTCAATCGTCTGTAACGATAATCATGTAAAAAAGGCATAGACGTAAATAATACAGTGTAATAAGTACAATATCTATAGCGTTGTGTGATAACACAAGTTGACTGCTGAGGGAGACTTAACTAACTAACTTAAGGCTGGGTTACACCATCTTACTTTAACAATCGTCAAAAATCTGTCAAACTTCATACAAAAGGCACCGGTTATCGTCATAGTTACCGTTAAATTTAGGTGCTGCAACTCAGCCTTAGACTTCAAATGTACTTATTAATAGTTGTTACACTGTACCCTTTTCTTCGTTGAACAATATTGGTGACTCCATTACTCTCACAATATAGGCATGTTTAATAATGTTCGACTCACTATATTCAGGAGAAGGCAATGGCCTAAAACGCGTACCCCAGCCTAGCTCATAAAATGCATAGCTCGCAAGTGAAACCCGATCGAGCGTGAAGGCTTTGAGATTTTATTCACGAGCGGCGCCACCTCGAGACTTCGCATATTTATGAGTTCTGTTTGCTCTCTGAGATTATTCATATATCCGGGGATTTGCACTTTTAGATTTTTTTACAAGAAACTTGGTTGTGTGATTAAAAAGTATGATCACTTACGAAGTTATTAAGTCTAAATTATATCAGTTGATATGAAGTGCTTCGAAATAATTAAATTCGTGATTACAGTTGTAATGTTTCCCAGGAATTAGGAAATGAAATTCATATTGAAGGCAAGATGTTTTGACTGTATTACAATTATATTAAATGTTGTTCTACACTGTCTTACTCGACAGAACATTTCTGGTAATAAAATTTATACAGTAAGGCTGAGTTGGACCACCTTATTTTGACCGTGACCATAACAGATGTTATTGAATGGAGTTTGACATACTTTTGACGTTTGTTAATATTAAAGTAAGATGGTGCAACCCAGCCTAATAATAGGTAGGTACTTATTAATGTTTAACAATTATCAAAATCTTCTGTATGAATCCTATAAGAGGGAAGAAAGTGCTTTTTTTTTCAATTTGTGTCAAAAACAAGAAAAGTACTTCCAACTCGCGGAAAACCGGTCCCCTGTTTTCTATTAAAATGGATTTGCTGACCATAATCCAGTCCCCGATCGGCTTAAGATGTCATGAACTCAAAGATTTTTGGATTAACCAGCTCCGTGAAAGTTTATCCCAACAAATCCGGAACGGCCAGATCAGACAACACTTGGTAAACAATTGACCCGACAAAAAATGAACAATATTGGTATTAAAGCCAGTCAACTTTTTAGTGTTTAACCTTAGGAAATTAAATCATTTATTCATTACTTATGCCTTTTCTATGGCGCTTATACACGTCCCAAATATAGCTTACTCTACCACCACTTTGGGACAACATATGTTATGGTGCTGAGAGAGGGATAGCTCCTGATGTACCTTTAAGTGCCCTGGAAAGGACCTAAGTACTAAATAAAAGCTTTGACCTGTCTAAGTGGCAAATTTTTCACAGATGCTCAATATAAAAGTATTGCGATTGTTAGCACATTGGTGTATTGCGGCGACTTGATGATTTCTCTAAGTAAATATTGTTTTCACTGACTTATTTGTTTTGGCTGTTACACAGGGAATATTTTTGCCATGTCTGTTTTCGTGTATTCTATTACTTACTTACTGACTCAGAAAAACAAACTTCTCCTGCTCCTTATGTGTTAGTAATAACATCTCGAACTAGAGATAAACTACAGAGAAAAATATACTGAAAGACATAATGAGAACAGTGTTTTATTAGTAAATAGATTCGTAATTCATTTCGTATAATGAAGTGGGCGGTTTTTATATCGTACGTTACGGGGATGGGGAAAGTTTTGAAACTCGGAGTTACCCAAGTTAAGATATTTAAATGATTGTAATCTAAAATGTACCTAACTTTAAGCTAAGTTGAAAACCTTAAAAAAAATGATTTTGAATGAAAATCTTAAAATTCAACACAAAATTCAGTCATAATAGAATGTAGAGAACTTAAGAATAGTACACAGTGAGTTCTGACAACATTCCCGACACGCTGTCGGCCACAAAGATTACAGTCACTGGATAAGATTTTTATTGCAGAGCATAATGTCTGTGAAATTGAGTTCTACGTTTTATTTTCTGTCAACAGTAACGCAAAAGACAATGCCGGAAATTGGCGTCATTTTTTTTTCACGCGGCCATCGACCAAACCTTGTTTTTTAATGACAAAATAGTGTAATAAACCAAACTTAATATGACATGTATACCTTTAAACTCAGTCTGAACTGAGTTACGAGCATTAGAAGTTGATGATTTTACATACTAGATTTGCTTTTTGCGCGCATGTTTTGTAAGAAATTGCAACAAAATAGTGACATTGTACGTATAAACAAACAATGCCATCCATTAAAGACTCCAACTATCAGTATGAAGCAGAATCAGCGCAATAAGAAAATAGCGCAATATTTTGTTGCAATTTCTTACAAAACTTGCGCGCAAAAAGCAAATCTAGTATGTAAAATCATCAACTTCTAATGCTCGTAACTCAGTTCAGACTGAGTTTAAAGGTATACATGTCATATTAAGTTTGGTTTATTACACTATTTTGTCATTAAAAAACAAGGTTTGNGTAAACACGAGATTTAAAAAAAATATCGTTTAATATGACTACAGCAATATTACCATTTAGAGCTTTTTGACACTTTCACAAGCTGATTAACGACATGAATGATTCTATATTTTGGAGAAAATTGCTCCTTCTGTTTCAGTTAACTCCGTCGAAACATAAGTATCATCAATTACCTATGTCAGATGCCTAGGTCTAGGCAGCTTGAAGACACGTCACGTCCTTCCAATGAATGTTTTTCAAGGTTATTTCACATCTAGTTGTCATATACGTCTCTTGAGTATAACAATGAAATTAACACTGGTAGAAGTGTGGGACGAATTCAGGACGCGCTACACCAAGTTTTATCTAGTATGTACGTCGAGATTAAGTTCGGCCGAGTTGCGAACTAGGCGGCGTGAGGCCGATTCTGGTGGCGGACGAAAGAGCAGTCAGTGATGTAAGCGATAATAGCCCAATCGTGTCGCCGCTGGATCATTGTGGTGAACCCATTCGTAGCTCGTTTAGCTTACAACAAGGCAGGTATCCTATAAGTACAACTAAGCGTCTTATGTGGAGATGTGTGTAATGCCTTTTTAAATGACATGTCCGATTGATAAATTATTTTAACTTTGCCTTGTCTACGAGTATATCGTAAGAGCTTGGATTTTAATGTTCTCGATATTTCGCATCAATTGATATTGTTTGTGTTTTGAAAAACGTGAAATATGCAATATTTTTCCTACTAAGCAGCAGCTAACTCTATGCAGTTACAATGCCAGTCACTTAAATTACCAAAAAAGAAAAATCGTCTCTTAATACCGTTTCAGCTAATTAAAGATGTACTACAGAGTCCAGAATCAAACCCCGCAGTATTGTATCTGGATTTCAGTCGCGGT